ATGTTAATTCATTTGCATTTCTTTTATTTATTTCCCCTATTATTTAGAAAAAAATATGATGAATTTTAGTGGAAAAAAAATTATTATGTAACTTTGCTATTTTTGAGTATTCATTATAATTATTCCCATATATTCTTAAGTTTGATTAGCGCAGTTTTGCTTAACACGGTAAAACTCAGGGATTTATTAACCGCGTTAATCAAGGGATTGCTGTACACAGACATTGGCACCAACACCTATTCTGGCAAGGAATTCAATTACATTGATATATACCAAAGCTTGGGTATTACAAAAAGTATTGGCATGTGTCATTACTCACCCATAAGGGGCACCAGCCAGGAAATGCAGATAACCAGTGGACAGCACGATCAAGCAAGGCGTGCAGCAGGATAACACTGTGCAGCCGGATCAGGATGTTCAGCAAGGTCAAGACACACAGCAAGACCAAGGTGCATGGCAAGACTTGTGTTAGCTCCAGAGACTAGGATGCAGCAGGACATAACAAGACTCATCAAAGTACATGCATTAGGTCTGAAAAGCCTAGCTAACCAAGAATCCACATTCATGAGTCTGGAAAGAGAGGACACAGGTGAGTGGAAAGAATGCATGGTGCAGTGACATAAATAATGATACACAAGCCACACCACTACAACTGGAACATTGCACTGCTCGGCATGGATGCGCACAGCTGAATGAGGAGGATGCGCAAGTAATGTTCCCATTCTAAAACTTCTGCTCTTATGCTCCGCCAGCCTAGTGTAAGAATTGTGAGATGTCATACCAACGTACGCTGATGCGCACTGCACACAACTGTATCTATATACTAGGGACGAATGCATAAAAAGAGGGAGAGCATCTTTATACTTGAAGAACAAACCAATTTTGAAATTATTCACCAATATCACCTGCAGATTTACATTCGGAAGGTATTTATTGATCAAATCTTTCAATTCCTTAGCCATAGTCTCAGATGCTTTACCAAAGTAGGGAAAAGAACAGTAAATTAGGTTCCTACTGTCACAATTGGGAACAACTTCATTATATTGCCTTGACATGAATTTCCTAATTTGAGTATAAACAGGGTTGGCAATGATTAAATCATGTGATTAAATCACTTGAATTTTTTATAAAAATCAAGATTTTTTTCGATTTATTTGATTTTTTCATATATTTAAATATATTGAGTGGCAGTCTTTAATTTATATTGAGGTATTGTTATTCTTTGATTAGTATAAATGTGCTATGAATGACAAATTGGTGTATAAACTTGTTGCCTTTAGTGTGTATTAGGTTCCAATAAATTGAATGTTTTTGGTACAGAGGCATCGTGAGCAATACATTGTACGTAGTTCGCAGTTTAGCTAATTCTTATAAGGCTATAAGTAGTCTTTAACTATTTGTTATATATTGATTACAATATACAATTTGAATGTGTTAACTAGCTTATACAGGGTGGGGAAGAACTGATTGAACAGTTTTGAGGCAAAATAAAAGAGTAATGGAGGTACATAAAGAAAAAAGTTAATATTCCTCAAGATTAGCATAACATACCATTTAAAATACTTATGTTTTGAAAACAATATCAGGAAGATGGGGTTTGTTAGCTGCATCACACTGTTGGAGTTGTTTTCTACAGCACGTTGTAGCGGTTCCTGGTAAGCCCGCACAAATATGCGAGACTGTATCTCTTGAGTCCCTGATCATGGAACAAATACTGAATGTGGTCAGAAGGAGTCACATTCAGGAAGGCATGAAACAGGGAAAACACTAAACAATTTACTACTAACAAAACACAAAATACAAAATGGCAGATACAACAATAACTGAATGATACCTAGTCTTACTGAAGCACTAGCAGGGGTGTCAGTTCAGCCCACTTGGTGGTCTGGGTAGAGAATTCTAATGAGTGGATCACTGTGGCCTCTCAGCGTTTTCGTTCCAGGTAACTACAGTAAAAAAGTGACAAATGGAAAAATAGTGATTTACAGCTTCTGCTGCCAGATAATAACGTCTCACTCAAACATTAGCCACGGCCAACTATGGTTTTAGCATAAATCAAGTAGTAACCATCCCTAGTAGTATTAGTAATCAAGTAGTAATCATAAATCAAGTACCCAGTAGTAACCATCCCAGGCTTCAGGTACAAGCCAAGGAGTGATAGTTGGCAAGGCAGAACTTGACCACCAGTGGAGGGATGGAGATCAATGCTGAGTGGCTTGTGGACCAAGTCACACAAACTCACATACCACACCCAGGCACACCACACTCCACACTGCACTCAACACCATCACTCTTACCTTATGGTAAGAGTGATGGGTTAATTATGCCCAAAGGGTTGTAGCCATCTTACCATTTCCTGGGCTGTTGGGAGAGCTAATGATTATCTAGGGCCTAGAGCACACTTTGATAGCAAATGGTATGTGGATAGCAAATGGAAACAAATAGGTGCCAAGCACAGGAATGCATAAGTGGACTAGGTCACACCATACCTAAATTTTGAACACCAATGGAAGTAAAGCAAGAAAAAAGCAACAGTTATGCAGTTCAAGAATTAAATCTGCAAATCCTAATTTTGCACTTCTGGTTTATTAGCTAGTCAGACTAAAGTTTCAATTACTCTTGACACAACAACATGATTCCCTCACTGATGTATGGGGCATTCATGAGTGGATTATGAGAGACAACTGGTCCTACTAAGTCGCACAAGTCATTAAATATACCGTCAACCGGGGTAACTCGGGACTGGCGGGGTAATTCGGGACAGTCCTCCGACACGGCGTAAAACTGTTATAGTAGCAAAACTAATTGGAATATTGCAAAACTAAAAATAGTGGAGTAAACGTCAACATTTTTCCTATCTATGTAGTATAAAGGGAGTCGTAATACAAATGACTTCGCTGTCATTCAATGATATTAGGAATTTTAAGATACAGCATAGACCTGTCACCTATCATCCTGTGGCCCTCAGGTAAAGTGATTATGGATTTATTTGCATTTATTTATGTTTTTCTAAAAAAAAACAATAAAAAACATGTTTTTTTAAGCGGATGTTTTTTATTAAAAAAATTGTTTTTTATTAAAAAAAACATGAGTGTTTTTTTACGTCACATCTCTAATTCTAAATGGTATGTTATGCTAACCTCTAGGAAAATAAACTTTCTTCTTTATGTACCTCCATTACTCTTTTATTTTACCTCAAAACTGCCCAATCCTCAACCTCTAGGAAAATAAACTTTCTTCTTTATGTACCTCCATTACTATTTTATTTTTCCTCAAAACTGCTCAATCAGTTCTGCCCCACCCTGTATATTGAGAGGTTGAGATTGTATTGACCTTTTAGGCAATTAGAAAGATTTTCCACCCTAATAAAAGTATTCTAATTATTTAATTTCAATCTTTAAATATGTGAATTTAAAACTAGAAACAAAACAATTACAATTATAAGACTACATATAAAATAATTAAATGCAGTGAATGGATATAAAATATTTGAATTGTGCACGTGTTTATTTCAAAGTGTTCGCTTTTCTCATAACTTAAGTTTCATTTCAAGTCGTTTGAGGTTTGTTTGGTTATCGTTTAGTTTATGTTTATTATTGGTTTATTGGTCTGAATTAAATGGGAACAGTGCAGTCAGTCACTCAGTCACTACTAGTTGGTGTGTATAGAAGGTTGAGTCTGGTAGATTTATAGGACATGAAACTAGTAGATCTATTGATAGTGCTGTGCACTGTGCTATCAGCTACCTATCTGTTATGTGACTCTTCAATGTTTAGGAGATCTGCATTCCTGAAGTGTTTTTTGTATATTGAAGCCAGTTAAATGGTCAATATTTAGCTCATTACCTTGCTCCATACAAACTTTACAAAGCTAATGAATATACTTATCAATAATTGTTTACCCAAAAATCCCAAAGTGGTAAACACCACTAATGGCCTGTTGGCCATTATTGAAGACAATAAGTGCCCTTTTTAGCCATCCATTATGATCCATATACTATTATTGTTAGTAGGCTAATTGCAACATAAAAAATAACACCTAAAAAAAAGCTGAAAAAATAAAAAATAATAATAATAAATAAAAAAAATCATGAAAAAATAAAAAAATTATTGATTTTTGATTGTTTTGATTTTTTTTAAATAAAAAAAATTGCCAACCATGCTATATCTGTTGACTAATTTATTCCACTAAAGATAAGAGAAATGTCATATTTTACCTACAATTTTCAAAAATTACCCTTGAAACTAGCTTTTCTTTACCTCTATATTTCAAATATTTTGCACAATATTGCAGATTGGATGGAAGACACATGGCTATCAATGACTCAAGTAGTGGCTTCAGTTTTTTAGAGTAAAACAAACCAGTATACGTGATAACTTTATTTATCCGCAGTTTTATATTTTTTATTTGATGGCTACTATTGATAAGATATGATTTTTCTCTTGGTACTGGTAGGCATGCAATATAACTAGGTACTTTTTAAGATGCAGAGCATTCCTGTCATTTTTGAACCACAAAATTCCAAAGTCATCCAAAATACATCACTTTGGACCTGTGAGATATCAATAATTGGAAGAAATAACAAATTTAGTTGAGAGGTTTTAAAAATAATGCAGACAGATCTTCATTGTTCAATGAGCTTCTTGCTACCTACAACACATGTACTTTGATGTAAAAATGAGGCTTTTTGTCTAAGTTGCTTTGCCAGTTTGTTATCTTTACTTTAAATTTAATCCAAATGCATAACTTCAATGTCGATTGCTTGGCTCCTAAGTGTTGATAATTTTATTTATTGAACATTTCAGCCATTTCTTTGTGGGTCTTATTGTTTCGTCATCTAAAAACAATTATTAAGCTGGTTTCCAACTTTTTCTTACAAAATTAGAATTGCTCTTTCTTCAATGTTTCATTTAACTTTAAATTAGTCTACACAAAGGACATCATAGTGCCTTATATGCATTACATTACAATAATTATTTTGTACTTTTATTTCAGGATTTAAAGCATTCCTCCATGCTATGCTTTTGGAGGATCAGAATAAAATATTAGGATGAAGCTCTGAAGGCACCAGACCCAAGCTGAGTGCATGTTTGGAGATCATGTGTGTCTCCTCGCCACCATTCACTCCTAGATTTTATGCCGTCAAATCCAGATATTGTGCTGAACCCACACTCACCCCAAGCATTAGCAAAGTGTTTAGTTTCAGATCATTCAAGAACTATTGTGTCCCAGAAACTCAAGTGAGTTATGATTTTTGTGAGAAAAGGAATCTTGAATTTAGCAGAAAAATAAATGATTTTGACTTTAATAATTGTTTTTGGATAAATTATAAACTTGGCAGCTGTTCTAATTTGCACAAATCAGTTGAGATATCAGTTAATATATTGATAAAACTCATCTACTTTGGATTTATGAGTGACATTGTTTACATTGTGGTGTATCAGAAAAATCAGTTTAATAGAGATTGTGTTCAAGAGGTTTGCAAGGAGTTTTGCAGAATTGATACTGATGTTACTTCATCTGGGTTAATTACAGGGAGTTGCCAAGCTCTCCCATCTCTTAAGCTAGAATTCTGCAGATTGAAGAGCGGTTTTTTGTGTCCTGATTTCAATACCTGCAAAAAATTAAGCTGGCAACTTTGGCTGTTATTAATTTTCTTCACAGCATGTGAAAAGCTTTTGTGTAAATCAACTCGATGCGCAGCTGGTTCAAGAACGGCAACTTGCATTTTATTACCTTGTGATTTCCAAGTTTTTGATGAGTTTGTGATGGAGCCTGAGTCACAAAAGGCATCTCTTGATGGGGGTCTTACCTGTGGGACAGCCATCCCTTCCCCTGTTTGTCCAACTCCTCCATTGTTGGCCTCTGTTGGAGCCTCATTGGACGAGGCTGAAGTGGAAAGTGGACTTTCTGCACAGTCATCCTGCGCAGCTTCGCCTTCAACCTCTGAAAAGTCTGGTCGTAGCTCAAGAGCTTCCCTATCTGCTACCCGGGCATCCAGGAAGAAGGATGTTTCAGATCATCCTCTTAGACCTAAAGTTTTGTTGAGTAAGCTAGCACTGAGTGGAGTTGACGATGCTGAAGATGGCCGCAAAAGCAGTGCCAGTAACCCACATTCTCGGTCCAGCACTCCTGACAAATCTCAAAGCAATTCAGCAAGCAAGCGGAAAAATAGTTCAAGTTCAATTAACCTTGAGTTGTCTGCCAGCAAGAAGAAAAAGACTAACAAATCTTCTACTCTTGGAGCTTCTGAGCAGGTTTGTTTCATGGCGATCCTACTTGCAATTTTTATGCAGTTAGAAGTGTGACTTGAAGTTTCAGTGGCAAATGTTGTGTATCAAATTTATCTGAAGTTTTCCCCACAATTCTATCTGGTTTCCATACAAATTTTGAAGATTTTTTGTTGCCTATTCCAATCATTGGATGATTTTAAAGCTAGTATCCACAACCAATTATTTTAAATGTAGTCTTGAAAACTGATTTTATGTTTGGTTTATATTTTCGCCCTATTATTTCATTGACTTACGTTAAACTCAGTCAATGACTCAATTGTGGCACATTACTTCTAGGTACAAAATGGGACATTAATTGTATTTTCAGTGTGGTGTATTGAATATAAGATGTACATATAACAAAATATGCAGAACCACTACAAGTGGTTCTATAACAAAGTAACAAGTACCGTATGGTTCTATTTTAATAAGTAGAACAAAATATGTAGAAATATGAACATAAGATGTACAAATAACAAAATGGCACGTAACCTCTCCATTTTCAGTCAGGGTTGTCATTGATTAAATCAAACTGATTAAATCATGTGATTATATCATTTCAAAAAGACACAAAAGCTGAAAAAAATAAAAAAATGGAAAAAAATTGTGAAAAAATAAAAAATTATTGATTTTTTATTTTCTTTATTTTTTATTTTTTTAAATCAAAAAAATCACCAACCCTGTTTTCAGTGTGGTGTATTGAATGACAATTACTGCTGGGAGTGCCATCGAGATGGGGAGTTCATCTGCTGCGAGATGTGCCCTCGTGTATACCACTTGCGCTGTGCCAACCTCGAGTCTGCGCCGCCTCAGGACTGGGCATGTCATCATTGCCATGCTATCATGCTGGCAGATAATGTGGAAAACAGGTCAGCATCTATACACACAAATTCTTATTAAGATCACTTGGCTGCTTAAGTTGCAAATTTACCAGGAATTTGAAAGTAAAGAAAATAGCAAAAAAGTTCACCATTTCTTTTAAGAGAAAACGTTTTGGAGTCCAGCTCCATCGTCAGTTCAAAATCTAGAACGCAGGTACAAACAATTAGTAGCCTAAAATTCACAATCAATCAATTCACCTAAACTATTATTATTATTTCTATTCTATTATTATTATCTCTTGTACAGTATTATAAATTTTTGTTCTGGTTATTTATTGATAATGTTTCCAGATGCCATTAGATAACTAGTGTATTAATATGATTTTTAATTATAAATAGTAATAAGATTACAAAGATAAATGTAAAAAATGACTTAATTTGACAGCTTGACTGAATTAATTTTGCAATTAGATTGGGCAATTTGGAAGACAAAATGTACGGCATTCCTACATTACAGCATATTGGGGCTGGGTTTGCCAGTCATGTACCAGGCTTATGACAGTCACGGTCCAGTCCAATATTATTTAATGCATTTCTGAAGAAGCATTCACCTGCCATGTCCATAGTGTGAATGCTTCTATGGAAATGCATTAAAAAATATTAACTGGACCGTGACTGCCATATGATGCTCAGTTCTTTGAAGATTGAACTGCCTGTTCATTGTCAATTTTTATTCAACAGGTCTCGAGCAATGCAGCTCATATCTGTTGACCAGTTGGGAATGATGCTCAAGTTTGCTCTTAAAAGAGCCAAGAAGACTCCCATGGTAAGTGTATAATGGTTACTCTTCAAGTATGATGCGGGTGCTATGCTATATTATGCTTTAATTTAGGAATAAATTGATAAAAAAAGTTTGTATACATATCAGTTGGTAAAATTGTGATCATTAATACCAACAAAAAGTTTTAATTTTAATTCATGCACAAAATTTTATTGCAAATTCAAAGGATGTAACAGAAAAATCATGAATTCTGCTGAATGTCCATGAATCACATTTATATTCTTCCTCCTTGTTGGTATGGAAGACTTGCGCATGCTTCATTTATTTAGAGTGGCAAAAAAAATTGTGAATGGTTCATTTTAATGTTGCGGGTATCAGATGGAAAATGTTATTGACAGTTTATGTGCAGTGAATCTAGTGCTTAGTCATTTTATCCATTCCTATCCTTTCTGGTTGCGTCATTCATGTGGATGTACCAAAGTACAACATTCATGTTGATGTACCAAAGTACAACATTCATGTTGATGTACCAAAGTGCAACATTCATGTTGATGTACCAAAGTGCAACATTCCTGTTGATGTACTGAAGTGCAACACTCATGTTGATGTACCAATGTAAATATCAAATAACATTTAATTCATATTGCAGATGGAACCCTTCACTAAACCAGTGGATGTGGTACAGTTTCCCACATACCACGAAGTGGTGCTCCATCCTGTTGACTTCACCACACTCGAGGCCAACATCAACAACAGAGTCTATGGCTCTACTGAAGCTTTTGTTGCAGACGTTGGCTGGATCCTTCACAACTCTGTCATATTTAATGGAGGTTTGTCTTTTTTTTATTTAATGTTGGTTGGATCCTTCACAACTCTTATATTTTATGGAGGTTTGTTCCTTTTGCCATCTAACGTTGACTGGATCCTTCACAACTCTGTCATATTTAATGGAGGTTTGTTCCTTTTCCCATCTAAATCTTCATTATATTCAGACATATTTTCTAAGTTGAATAAGCTTTTATAGTTATAATTGGTGATAAAATTCAACTTATAAAATTGATCCTACAAATCTGGTGGTTTAGAGATGTTTGATCATGATTTCTAAATCATGAATTTCATAATTGGTTAATGGTACTGATTGGAAGAGGATTGACTGTTAAGTTTCTAATCAATTCCAATGACTGGAGAGCAGGTCAAGTTCATATTGAAGTGTAACTAAGATTATTCATGTATGGGAATATTATGATCAATGTGAAGGTCAATTCTTAATTGCTTGTAGCATTAACTTTCACAACTGTTCTCACTCCTTTTAAAGTCAAATAATTAGATCTATTATCTGAATTAATTTAGGTCGTATTATTATCAGTTTTCTGATCTCTTAACTATCTAACTTTTGTTACCTTGTAATACTAGATTTTTCCATGATATAATCAAAATCATAACTTCTATCTGAATTTTATTCTTGCTTATTCTTTATATAGGTATTAGTTCTGTGGTCCATTTAATTCCTGATTTCCATTGCATTGTAATTCAAATACAAGGTGATTCGCACAAACTTCTTGATTTGATAGCTCAATAAAAAAAGAGCTAGTTAAGATGTTCTCAGAATATAATTTCATTGAAAAAGACATTACCTACCTGAATTTTTTAATTTAACTTTGTTTTAAAGATGACGTCAGACAAATGACGGCAACCAAGACCCAAAAATTTTACTGCATTCAGTTAGTCAATTTTTGAAGTTCCTTTAAACTTGCTGAAGCGTATTAATGGGTATGTTGGTGATGGCTTGGCGTATGTTGTTCTTCAAAAGTGGTAGAGTCCTTGGACAGTCATTGTAAATAACAACATGATGGGGTCAACAAACAATAACATTTTTATGGGGTCAACAATTGACCCCATAAAAAATCACTTGGAGGCAAATTGTAGGATCAGGCCGGTCAAAGATGGTCACCCCTCTAGGAGATGAGGCACTCTGCAAAATGTTGTCTCAGAAGATCTATTGGAACTCGTGCTGTGTGGGCCATGGCTCCATCCTGTTGGAACCAGACATCTCTGACACTCATTTCAGCCAGTTTTGGCCAAAAAAAAGGCATTTGCATGTACTGAGCTGAAGTCACTTACTGCGCGTTCGTTTTCCTCAAAGAAATAACGGTCAATTATGCCAACTTTTGACTCTACACACCACACAGTTATGCCTTCACAATGAAGTGGCCGCCTTTCTAACTCTCTTGAGGTTTTTGGGTGTTGTGGTAGTCTGCTAACCCCCACACCCTCTTGTATTTGCACTTCCACTTGCCCTAAATGTGTTCACCCATGTAACAGTCAATTTTTGATCAGGAACCCAACCTGAAAGACAAATACAGAACAAAGTACAAAATGCTTGTTGAGTAGCGATAATAGAATGGGCATTGGAAAAGTATGCCTTGACAGCAAATACACGCTGCTCACTTGTCCGATGCATAGTGGCAACTGACTAGGCAGGACACAAAACTTTATGACCTTGCCTTTCATATGAAATATGTACTCTCTGCCTTTTTTCTATAACATCTGACTACTAAATACAAAATAGGATGTGTCCGTGAATCTCCCTGAAGTTTCTGAATTATGATTAAATATCTTGTCTCATATCTGAATTTTATTGCAGCTAATTCTAAAGTAACCAACTTGGCGCGCACGGCAGTGAAGATCATAAAGCAGGAGATGAGCGAAATAGAAACATGTCCCGACTGCTACATGAACGCCCACCAGCTGCCCGACACCTGGTTCACCGAAGCCTGTGTAAGTGCTGGTGGTTGTTGTTGCTGTAATTGCCCATCCTGGTAGTGGCAACTAGGGGGGGAGGGGGGTTGAAAGGTCAGTTTTTGTGGGCACTTGATGCCACTGGTAGTTCTACGACCATCACTGGCTCGCTGACCCGCCAGAACCATTTTATTGCATTACACAACACCCTGGACAAGCCAGGTACTCATTTATCAACCAGAGTTGGATGAATGGCTGAGTTGACCATGAGCTGAGCTTCCCGATAGAACTTGTCCTCAGTGGGACTCAAACCCGGGAGCAGGGTGCGAGAGACAGAGAACCCAGGAGCTGGGTGTGAGACAGAGAACCCGGGAGCTGGGTGCGAGAGACAGAGAACCCGGGAGCTGGGTGCGAGAGACCGAGAACCTGGGAGCTGGGTGCGAGAGACAGAGAACCCGGGAGCTGGGTGTGAGAGACAGAGAACCCAGGAGCTGGGTGTGAGAGACTGAGAACCCGGGAGCTGGGTGCAAGAGACAGAGAACCCGGGATCTGGGTGCGAGAGACTGAGAACCCAGGAGCTGGGTGTGAGAGACTGAGTCTCTCACCACAGCTCCAATGAGTGCTGGTAGAACTGTCAGGCTGTGTGAGTGCTGGTAGAACTTTTTGTTTGTGGTTTCAAAATAATGTATAATGACTGCTCTTGTTAGCGGCATCAAAACATTGATTGTGACTCGAATCTTTGGATTTATTGTACGATTTTTTTTAACTGTTATTGATTTAAGATCAAAACTTGAAACTCATATTATGTAATTATAGTTCAGCAGGATTATTTTTGACTTGAACTGCAATTTTTATTATGCAATACTCTCAATTATTATGGTTTTTCTCTTATGTAGTTGTCATTTCAAATATTAATTGAAAATTTTCTTCAGCGACTGGCGCATCCCCTAGTATGGGCTCGACTTAAAGGCTTTCCATACTGGCCTGCCAAGGCTGTCAAGTGGCACAACAGCAGCGTTGACGTGCGCTTCTTTGGCAGACATGACAAGTGAGTAGTCGCATGTTGGCTGGACAAGGTAAATGAATGTGCGCTTCTTTGGCAGGCATGACAAATGAGTAGTCACATGTTTGCTGGACATGGCAAATGAATTTTTGCTTCGTTTGCCAATTTTTGAAAGACATGAGTGAGTGCTCACTTCTTGGCAGCCATGACAAGTTTGTTTGTTGTTTTCATACCTGAATGAGGAAAAGTAGATAACTTCTTCAGTTAACGTTATTGATAGTTGTTATTGCAGAACTTATGAAGCACCTGAAGTTAGTATTTACATCAATATTTACAATATTCTTCATAGTGGTATGTACAGGGTCCGCCATATTTATGGCAACGGATGTTTGCTATATAAAAATAAATTGGTTTCTAGGAGACTTTTCTTTTATAATGAAGCTTAATATCATCTATTAATTCATCTATTTTATATTGCAAAAAAGCTCCAAATTGTCGTGAAGCTGTGTGGAAGGTGGTAAAAAAATCAAGGGAAACTGGTGAAACATGCAATCGACCTGGTCAAGGAAGGAAACGAAGTGTCCGAACAAAACAATTGGTCAAAAACACGAGGGAGAAGTTGAGAAACCCTCGTGGCTCAGCTGCAAAATTGGCTGCAGGAGCAGGAGTCAGTCAGACATCAATGCATATAGTCCTCAAAGATGACCTCAAAACCTCCCCTTACAAGATGCAAACAAGGCATGAACTAACAGACCGTCATGAGCGAATGAGACTCGAAAGATGCCAGCACATTCTGGATCTCATTGAGGATGGCACGCTGCCCAACTTGGTGTTCAGTGACGAGAAAAAATTTGACATTGAACAAAGCATTAACCTTCAAAATGGCGGAGTTTGGAGTCGGGATGGATCTGTGGCAACCAGAACAGCAACACGACGTCAAAATCCCATGTCCGTGATGGTTTGGGCCGCGGTAACCGCCACTGGCAGGTCCCCATTCGTTTTTGTCGCCTCAGGAGTGAAATTGAACAGTCTGCGATACATTTCGGACATTTTGGAAGCTGTGTTGTTACCTTGGGCCCGTAAACACTTCAACGGCTCACCATGGAGTTTTCAACAAGACTGCCCCATCACATGGCTCAAACATGACCCAAAACTGGATTCAAGGTCACATCCCAGCGTTCATTTGCAAAAATGAATGGCCCTCAAGAAGCCCTGATTTGAATCCTCTCGACTTTCCTGTGTGGGCTATTTAGAGAGTAGGGTCTGCAGAACACCTCATGATTCTTTGGATAGTTTGAAGTCTAAATTGACACGAGAATGGGACTTGATCCCTCAAGAAATGCTGCGTGTCTCCTGTGAAGATTTCCGCGTAGATTGGAGGCCGTCATTAAAAATAAGGGTGGTCATATTGAATAAATTGTTTACCTAAAGAAGAATTACCTAAAGAATTGTTTAGGTAATTCTTGGCTACTAGCTCATCTAATAGAAAAAAAGCACCTGTTTTTTTCATTGAGAAATAACAAAAAACATGCATTGCCATAAATATGGCGGACTCTGTATTTATTCCTATGGTCTGGGACATTCATTGCTTTCTCGAATTTGGGAAATCCATAGCCAATTAAATTATAAATTTGATAAAAGCAGCAAACTTTGTGTATTTGCTCCGTATTGTTCTTTATGGCAGCTACTGAATAGTCTTAACTTAAATTTGTTTTAATAAATTTTTCTCAATTTACGATATATTACTGTGTTTTCTCCATACAGGGCGTGGGTGTCGGCCAAGGACTGCTATCTCCTCTCAGAGAAAATGCCCGTCGCGCTGAAGGGGCGGAACAAAACCCTGGAGTCCTGCATGACTGAGGTGAGGTCCGGGGGACCGAGGTGAGGTCCGGGGGACTGAGGTGAGGTCCGGGGGACTGAGGTGAGGGCAGGGGACTGAGGTGAGGTCCGGGGGACCGAGGTGAGGTCCGGGGGACTGAGGTGAGGTTTGGGGGACTGAGGTGAGGTCCGGGGGACTGAGGTGAGGTCCGGGGGACTGAGGTGAGGTCCGGGGGACCGAGATGAGGTCCGGGGGACCGAGATGAGGTCAGGGGACTGAGGTGAGGTCCGGGGACTGAGGTGAGGTCAGGGGACTGAGGTGAGGTCTGGGCATTATTTTAGATCATATACGCCATTTTTTTGAGCTATGGATTCTTTGTGTACATTGCCGTAGATCTTCGTAAAAGTTTTTTTTAGAAGTTAAATTAGTTTTTGTTAGAAAGTTTGCAGCTCAGTAAATATTTTGACTGTTCCTGTAAAGAAATTATTAGTACAAATATAAATTCATCAAAAGTTAATTCATCATCATATGCCTCTAATTTTTTTATACACGCTTTTCATCTCATCAACATGTTCTCACTTTTCACGTCTTCAACAAGTTCTTGCTTTTCACCTCTTCAACAAGTTCTCACTTTTCACCTCTTCAACAAGTTCTCGCTTTTCACCTCTTCAACAAGTTCTCGCTTTTCACCTCTTCAACAAGTTCATATTTTTCATCTCAAATAAGATATACCTTTGTCAGGTGAAGGCCCACATCGAGTGCCTGAAGAAGCGCTTCGGCAGCTTCGTGTACGCCCCCCACAAGCTCCCCTTCAGCCCCAGCGACCCTCAGCAGGTGCAGGTCCTACTTCCCCTCTACAAGGGACCTCCCCTCGCCCTTCTTCACGCACTCAACCCCTCTTCTGCAGCACCTAGTGGTATGTTCAATATATTTATTTAATATTTTTATATTTAATTACTTGATAATCGCCCGTAAGGATATGTTTCTCGCGGGAAAATTTTGTATTAATATCACTTGATTGCTTAAATCGCAAGTTTTTCAAGAATTTAAAAGTCACGAAAACGGCCAAAAAATCACAATTTCTTGAGAATGAGAAAAATCACTATTTCTTTCATAAGAAATTATAAATTTTTTGGCTGTTTTCTTTGCTTTTAAATTCTTGAGTAAATTTAGTTCGTATGTCATTGCTTGGGTACAAATGTGATTGCGTCCATTTCAAGTATTCTATGAGTTTATTGGGATTCTCGTAATTTCTGCAGATATTTAGTTACGCACTATCAATGGATGCTCTAAATGGTCTGTCTGTTGATGATTATAATATTATGAATTATCAACTGAAATCTTAAAGTGCATTTTATTTCCATCATTTTTAATGCATTTTCTCATTAATGAAAAAAAAACGCTATTGTGCTCGTCATGTCCGTCCGTCTGTCTGTGACTGGCCGAAGAGAAAATGCGCTCTCTGCCACTCACTGCAATGAGTACTGATCAATTTTTTTAGGTTTATCATGATGTGATCAGTTTAGTTTGTTTACGATTTGGCTGTTTGATTCGTGATTGAATTATTTTGTCTAGTTTAGTTTTAAAATTTTGAAAATTGAGATTTAAAACTTTTGCCCCGATTCAGATGACGAGACGTCGTCGGTGGGATCTTCCGACAGCGCAGCTTCTTCGAGGCGATCCAGGAGGGAAAAGAATATAAATGAAATGTCTAGCGATGTTCCTGAGCAATCCACTCCTTATGAATCAATAAGCAACCAACCTGAAGAATCTATGTCCAACTTTGAACCGGAGTCTGAAGGAATAGAAATTACTGAGCACCAAACTCAATGTTTGGTTAGCAGCAAACTCGATCTGAATGAAGATTGTGAAGTAACTGATGATGAAAAACGTCAGGATATGGCCGGTGGAAGTAATATCGAAGCTCAGAAGTTCAACAAATTTGAAGAGAAAGATGAAAATGATGAGCAGGAGGCAAAAAATACATTGCAAGATGAAGGTGATGTTGATGCTATCGATGGTTCAGCAATGAAACGTGTAACAACTGTCACTAAAGATCATTTCGTTGAGACTCTAAACACAGAAGATCAGACTGGTCACACCTCAGGAAGCGTGCTAGAAGTACATGAACAGTCTTCACTGAGCTCTAGGTTACCTGAGACTACTAGTCACCTTACTGAAGAAAATTATACTCATTCTGTATCCGGTCACATAGTCTCTGAACATACGCTAACTGTCACTGAGGAAGGAGATTTACACACTGAGAATAATGTTTCACTTGCTCAGCATGAAGATTTGTGCTCGAAAGATGTAGATTCTTGTGATAAAACTTATAACTCGATTGCTTCCGCATCATGTGACAAGTTTGCTGCCACTAACAATCAAGTTCACGTTTACGAGGAAGAAGATGTGACCAAGGCAGAAGAATCTTTTCTGTGCGGAGATGAAACTGGTGGTGGCAATGTGGTATGTGAGGTAGGAAATGTTGATGATCATCAACTTTGCGAGGAAGAAATTGATGAGGAGACAGAGCGGAGATTACTTGATGCAGGCACGGAAGAAGGCAACGATGATGCTAATGAAGAAGAAGAAAAGTTAATGGGAGAGCAAGTTGAATGTGCCTCGCCTATTGCCTCTGGAAGCTCCACGACAGAAGTTCTCAAAGAAGAAGAAGCAACTGATGCTGATACAAATCCTTTAGTCAAATTGTCTAGTAAGAGCGATGGTACTGAAGGCCAGGCTAGCGGGGACGGCACTGAGGTGAACATAAATTATTTAGAAGAGAGCTTGCTGGCATTCGATCGAGAACAGGAACAAATGGCAACTCAGTCTTGCAGCTCAGATGAACTGAGTGATCACGAACAATCTTCTCCTCAGCTAGCGAAGATGCAGTCAGAAGCTTCTGGGATGTTTAAAGCATCATCGAGTGTTGCTGCTGAAGCTGAAGCCATGTTCTCATTTGGGTCTCTTGGCTGTACTATTTCAGCTGTGACCGCTAACAAGGATTCCATTTCATTTAAACCTCAAGGGATGAAAAAGTTCCCATTGCCGGAGTATGGAGAGTCAAAAGTCAAAGAAATGGCAGGCGTGGGGAAAGGTGAAGGAGAACAAGAGAAGAACAAAGGTTGTTCAACAGGACAGAGCAACGGTGGCCAAGGAAGTGATGGAGGAAGCAGTGATGATGGTGGTGGTGGTGACCGAGGTCAGGGTGTTGGAGGACATGGAAGAAAAAGCGGAGGGGAAGATGGCGGCGAAGAAAAAAAGGGTAACAATTTCATCAAGCCCGTCTTACAGGACGAAGAGGAGGTGGAGGAAGATGAAGAAGAGGATGATTTCGGCGATGAAGATGCAAACGACGACGCTGATGAGAATGTCAACTTCTCAGGCGAGTTACAGGCTCTACAGAAGATGACTGAAAGTCGGATAGAATCTTTGTCTCCGTCTATTGCCGCTTGTTTACCTTCAGGAGTTAGTGCTTCAGTATGTATCAGTTCGGTAAGCGCTACCAAATCCTACTCTAAACCACCAGATGCTGCTAAGTACCCCAGTTTAAGTACTGATGTGTCTAAGTACTCGGATGACGTTGCTGACGAGACTGCTAGAACTGTGTCTCGGTCCCTGGCTCTAGGCTGCACCATCACACCAGCTCTACTTGGTGGCTCAGTTTCAGTGGCCGTTTGTGGAGCCAATAAACGAAAAGCCTCTGATTTAGACGATCAAGAGGACCAAAGTCGAAGAAAGAAACTCATGAGGCTCAGTGACGCTGGGTCCAATGCCTCCAGTGATGAAATGAACGACCCAGAAGAAGAAGAAGATTATGAAGATGATGCAGAAGAAGAAAATAATGACCAAAAAATTAGCGATACTGCTAGCCAACTGCCGTCTTCTGTAAGTGTAACGACGCTTCATGCATCCTCGAGTTTAACTATCAGAGAGACGAATACGTCTAGGACTGGCGCACATCTTCTACCAGACTCTGTGTCCGTGACAAGCGTGTCGGCACCATTAGAATCATCAAACTTAAATACCAATGACGGAACTGAGAACAGCAGAGGCAGTGACGTTAGTTCTAATAACGAGAAATCTAATAACAAATCGTATACTATTTCTAGGCTGGAAAATACCTGCACCAGTCAATCAAGGGATAGTCCTGGTTCTCAAGGTAGCCCAACTTTGAATCTGAAGTCAAGTTCAACTGAAGACTTGATAGAATCTGTGCTGAAGCGTGGCTGTTTGGCAAGATTAAGTCAATCCGACGACTCCAATGATTCAGAGAACAAGCCATCAACGCCTCGACGTAAATCTTCAGACAGCAACTCCGACACAGCCGCGGATACTCTCAGTCGAATCAGCAAGCAGGTTTCAATAAGTTCTGTCAGTGCCAAAGCACCCAGCAAAAGAGACTCCAGTAGTCCAGACTCAGCCCTTAGCTCGTCGTTGTCTGCGTTAGGTTCTAGTATAAGTATCAGCATTAGTAGTGCTAGTGTCAGCAACACGTCGTCAATGGTGTCATCTAGCAGTGTCAGCGTCATCAGAAACCTCGAGCGTAATACCGCCAAGTCACAGAAATCTTCTAATGATGAAGTTGCTTCTGAAAAATCCAATGATACATCACAGTCTAGTAAAGCTGCTAAAGAAATACCAGGACTTGCTCGAGATGTAGACATCAAACCGACACTGGACGCAAGTGGTCGAGTCATCACGTCAGGAAGTGTCAAAGAATCCTCGCCCTCCACTGCCACTGCGACCTCCGGCAGCAGCACAGCCTCTGACCAGAAGACTCGCTCGTCTCCGAAGAAAGAAGATCAGTCCCCAAATTCTATTAGCGGTGTTGATACTTCAAAAATCAACGCTTCTGTTTCCATAATTGCCGTGAGCACAATGGCGGAGAAAAGCCGTGCTACCTCGACCACTGCTTCGTCGCGGCCTTCGTCAGGCACGTCTGCTCGCTCCAACTCCTCATCGCCGGGACACAGCAGCAGAGCCTCGCCTGCTGTGGGCAATATAAGCATAAAGGGCTCGTCTCTACTGCAGGAGACGCTGCCCACGGTACCTCCCCCTCCTCCTTTATCCCAGGCACAACAAACCGCAACGTCCATGTCCCGGGGAATGAACTTCGCAGCCCCTGGGGCGATCAACGGACCTGTTAGAAATGTCGCCATGATGCGAGGTATGGCCCCCGGCCTCGTGGTGGGGGGCGGTCGCATGGCATGCCCCCCATTGAGGCCCCAAAACATGCAGGGGGTTGTACCCCCTCCAGAAGCTGGGCATTTATCACAACAACTTCACCAGCACTCGCACAAGCTCGCGGAGATCATGCGGGCGAGTTTAGAAGAAGTTTTGTCGGGTCTCGTGGTCGCCGGCACTCCAGAGGCAAGGGTTGCCGCCCTGCAACTAGAACTTGAGCGCAGCAATTGGAGGCATCAGCAGGAGGTGCGAACAATAAATAATGTTCATGCTGAATAATTTTGATCTAACGAAATCAACGCGTTGTTTTCGTTGAAATCAGCAGGAGGTGCGAACAATAAATAATAATGTTGATGTTGAATAATGTTGATCTAACGTTTCAACGAAATTAACTCGTTGATTTCGTTGAAATCAATGGTTCAACTTTAAATCAAAACACCCTCTGATTTACCGCCACTTGCTTTGCTTGTAGGGTGTATAATTTTGAGAATTTATTGCTGCACGTAATGTTTACATGGTCCCTGAAAGGTCCGCATTAATATAATAAGAAATAAGCCCGGACCTTACTTCACTGAATTGTAAATGTAAGGATAGAATGGGCTTTGATTTCTCTCACTGGTAGAGAGTTTAGCATAACTTTTATATAACATTGAGTAACCATAACTTTCATGTTTATGCCAGGTGATGGAGGTGCGACATAACTCAGACATCATGCTGGGCGAGATGAGAGCAAGTCTCGAGGCTGAGAAACATCGCGCTGTTGAAGAGGTCAGGCTAATGTTATTGATTGTTGGTTACTTATAATGTTATTAATTAGTGGACTAATGTTATTTATTGTTGGTTACTTATAATGTTATTGATTAGCGGACTAATGTTATTGATTGTTGGTTACTTATAATGTTATTAATTAGCTGACTAATGTTATTTATTGTTGATTACCGTACTTATAATGTTATTAATTAGCAGACTAATGTTTTTCATTGTTGATTACTTATAATGTTATTAATTAGCAGACTAATGTTATTTATTGATGATAAAAAGTACTTATTCACCTTTCTTATTATAATAATTATAACTATTGTTATTATTATAATTATTTATTATCATTTTTAGGCACTTTATGTGAGAACGTATTATTAATTTTTATTTACTTGATTAATACCAATAATACTGAAGTAATACTGATACTCAGCAAATATGTCAACAAAAAGATTTTTTTCAATTAGAGGTGAAAGAATTATCTTATATTGTATTTTGTAAATACATATCATATAATATAATTATTAATGTAATATATTATCTTATATTGTAAAATTATCTTATATAATTATCATGTTACTATGCTGTATATTCCAGATACAAATTTTCAGGTTTCAGCCCGGTTTTATTTTTATCACTTCGAATTTCAATGTAATTTGTGCTGAACCCACTTCTGTCTCACGCTGCTGCCCAAATCATTCTTTATTTCAGAATTTGACTAATTATTCCATGATTTGAGTTTTGGGGCCGTTCTTAAGGTGAAATCTATTCATATCAGAATTTCAACTTCAGAATTTTGACTAGTTTTTTCTTAATATTATCGTTAGAACCGTTGTCGAGAGTAAATCGTTCAATTTTACACTCAGAATCTTTACTTGTTCTTCCCTAAAATACCCATTATGCCGATTAGGGCCTTAATAATTTATACCTTCATTTACAGAATTTTGACTAATTCTCCTTAGATGTGTCCGTTAGAACCGTTGTTGAGATGTAATTCAACAAATTCACCCTTATAATTTTGATTTTTTCATTTAAATACTCATTAAGGCAGTAATTTCGATAAAATTCATCCACTTCATCATGATCAGCAATTTATTTATTCATAAGTCCTGCAAAAAAATGCGATATATATTCCTAATTTACCGGCATAACAGATGCGGTTACCATGATCGACAAGTTATTTATTCATAAGTCGTGCAACAAAGAGATATATTTTCATAATCTACTGGCATTTCAGATGCGTCGTTCAATGGAACAACAACAAGTAGAGATCCGACGTCAAATGGAACGTCGTCTCAGCGAGAAGATATCAGAAGTGAAGCGTCAGTGCGACGTAGAGAAGCAGCGCGCAGTCGAGGACACGAAGAAGAAGCAGTGGTGCGCTAACTGCGGCAAGGAGGCTCTCTTCTTCTGCTGCTGGAACACTTCTTACTGCGACTACCCCTGTCAGGTTAGTGGTAGTGGTTAGTGGTGGTGGCAGGTTAGTGGTAGTGGCAGGTTAGTGGTAGTGGCAGGTTAGTGGTGGTGGCAGGTTAGTGGTTTAGTGGCAGTGGTGTGGCAGGTTAGTGGCAGTGGTGTGGCAGGTTAATTACCTCATCCACCGTCCCCATTCCTCCCCCACCCCACCCATCACTCCCCATATCTCCCCCAGCAAGCCCACTGGCCCCACCACATGGCGGTGTGCGGGCAAAACAGCGACGGCGGCGGCGGCGGCGGGACTAACAACGGCGCTGTTAACAGCCACGAGGCCGCTACAGCAGCTGTAACGGACGCTGTTAACGGCGATATAACAGCGGGACAACATGGGTCACGGGGACCCACTCCCATACACGGCATCGTGTCCCAGGTGGGTCAAATATTGGGTCCCAGGTGGGTCAAATATCGTGGCCCAGGTGGGTCAAATATCGGGTCCCAAGTGGTTAAATATTGGGTCCCAGGTGGGTCAAATATTTGCTTTCTAGTGGGTCAAATATCGGGTCCCAGGTGGGTCAAATATCAGGTCCCAGGTCGGTCAAATATCGGATCCCAGGTGTGTCAAATACCGGGTCCCAGGTGGGTCTAATATCGGGTTAATATCGGGTCCCAGGTGGGTCAAATATCGGGTTCCAGGTGGGTCTAATATCGGGTCCCAGGTGGGTCAAATATCGGGTCCCAGGTGGGTCTAATATTGGGTCCCAGGTGGGTCAAATATCGGGTCCCAGGTGGGTCAAATATCAGGTCCCAGGTGGGTCAAATATCGGGTCCCAGGTGGGTCAAACAGTATCGTGTCCCAGGTGGGCCTATTTTTATAATCTTTATTCATCATTCAATAAAATAATCTGAGTCTTCATTATTTCATTTGATGTATTTTCTGTATTAATATTTTTTGCGTTAGTTTTAACTTTCGACTTGTCCCATTTCTACAATATATTGATTGTTATATTATTGTCAAAAGAAATTTTATATCCGCTTAGGAAGAGCTTGGTTTTCAAGTCCCGAGTGAGTTAACAACTGCTTTATTTGATTCATTAAAATTTTTGAACGTTATCTCATATGTTTAATAAAATTTTGTGCAATAAAATTTTAATTAATCAATACTTGATTAATTAATTAATTATACTCGCGGTTTTATGTTAGTAATTTATTTCGTTTGCTTATTAAATTCAATGCTACGTTCATTTGAATCTTTTTCCGTTGTTTTAAATCCATGTTGCCTTGTGTTACTGTGCCTGTATTTTCTTTGGTATGAATCGTGTTATTATAATATTTAATAAAACTCGGAACTTAATATATCAGCTTAGCAAACATAGATTTCGAATATGTAACCAAGTATCAAGATCAAATTATAGCTCGATTCAACTAACAACTCGATTGCAAAAAAATTTGCAAAAAAATATTCAAAATTTGCAATCTCATTTGAAATTCGAAAAACCCCTTCTTTGTTTTAGTATTCTTAGAGTTTTCGAATGGTTTAGCATGAATGTTAATTGTGTTTCACTTGAATAATATTGGTTTTAGTTGAGTTCCTACAATGTTTTGGTTTTTATGTATAATTGTGGTTTAAAACTACATAGTGTCGCATGCGTTTGATTTATTTTGTAAATAGTTAAACTAATAACGTTGTAAATAGTTATACATACATATTTTGATACCTGCAGCTTAATAATTAAGTAAGTGATTCGCCTGCCAATCAAAAAATTCACTTGTTGTAAAAACGTGTTGCTTTCAAAGTAATTGCAACGATTTACTTTGAAAAATTACGCGTGTATTCACAAATTTATGAATGGCCGGACAAAGTTGTTCCTGCCATTAGTCGCGATCATTTCTTTATATGTTGTGATGTTTAAATGGCAACGAATAGTTAGCTTGTTAAATGGCAAAGAATAATTAAATGGCAAAGAATAGTTAGCTTGCTTAAAAGGCAAAGAATAGTTAGCTTGTTAAAATGGCAACGAATAATTAAATGACAAAGAATACTTAGCTTCTTTAAATGGCAAAGAATAATTAAATTGCAAATACTAGTTAGCTTGTTTTCCGATGTAATTTTTATATAGTTTTCTTCATCTGGGTTGAATAAGGCAGGAGCTACAAAGATAAGGACGTTAAAAATTCATAAAATGACTGAAATATTGTGATGTCTTTATTCTATCGCTAAAATAATCATAATGAAGGTTAGGTGTCGGTAACGACAGAATTGTTTTATACGTTTTTTCTTCATTACTCCATCGATAATATCGAAAAGAAAATCATGTGAGGCATAACACTGGATAATTTCTTCGTTTAGATTGATTTTGTGTGCAAAAATTAATCATTTCATCTTCGCAATGATTGCTTAATAAGCTAAGAAAATACCTGTAAGTATTTCGGAAATTATAGGTTTTCAGATTTCGTTTTTCATGGTTTGAATTTCAAGTGTGCTTGTGTTACTGATTCTTAAAAGCTTTCTTTACTGCAATTCAGATCGTGTCGTTCTCTTTCGTCTGTAATTTATAACATGGAAATTTGTGTACTGTTCGGTAAAATTAAGTCTTCGTTGTTTTTTTTTTTTGTGCTGGAAGTTATGATGTATATTCGCGGTTACGTATATATATTCCCACTCTTATGTTATTCGTATTATTGTTGGTGTATTGTTGGATTATAGTGAATTATAGTGAGTGCGTGAGTAGCAGCGTGTTATTCATGTGTTGGCCTTGTATTAATGAATGTATGGCGATGGTCTCGTATGAATACTGTATGAATGATCGTGTGAGTGTTGCGTATTGTGTGGGCAGAAGCGCAAGGCAAGATGGATTTTACGTCGGTCAGACTCCCAATTATACGGACAGCAACAGCCGTTACGTTTATCATAAAATAATATTATCTTGCTACTTATTATCATATCGATAAACTATTCGCCAGTTCCGTGCTGTATAGATTTTATATTCGTGCTGATTTTATTCACGTAACATTTATTGGGCTCGTTGGCTTCAAAACAATAACTTTTCCAAAATTATTTCCGAGATCGAATTTCATGGTTAAATTTACCTTGAAATTTTAAATTAAAATCAGTATCGGTGTACAATGATTCACAATTGGAGACATAACATTGAAAGGGCCTTCATAATATCTATATATTTCCATCGGTTATATTATGTAATTAGTTTCATAACAGATTCCTTATAAATGGTGAATAAACGGCAGATTTATTCTCACATTGCCAAATATTAATGACGTTGTACATATATTTTCCTGAGCGGACTTGAATTAAATTCGATATTGCCTGGGTGGACTGATCAGTAAAATCGATGTTGTCGTTTTGCAGGGGTCGTGTGGTGGTGGTGATGTAAGTGTTGGTGATGATGATGGTGGTGTGCTTGTGAACGAAGCGGTTCAAATACGTCCTCCGTTGTTGGTGCGACCTCAGCCTCGTCTCGCTCCTCTCGTCAAGAAGAAAAAGAAAAAGAAAGTTCATGGAGCTTCACATGGAAATGAAAATCCGAGTACCTGTTCGCTTGCAAAAAATAACATAACCTCTGTTGGCCAGCTGGGAGTATTTAGCGACATGTTAAGTAGCCTTTCTTCATTCAAGGACAAGAATCTTGATATAATCAGTTCATCTTTAATGTCACATTCATCTAATGCGGCCATATTGCCGCCTATAACTTCCAAGTCCAAGATTATGCCGAGCAAATCTTCTTCCAGTAATTCTGTTGCTTCAAGTCATGCCAGTAAATTCCAGTCGTCTAAAAGTAGCGAATCGCCTCCTGCGTTTATTAAAAACAGTCCTAAAGCTTGGATGGACTGGTTCATAGAGCAGTCAGGCTCTGAAGGCATCAAAAGTAATCTCCAGGCAGGAAAAACCAAAACAAAACCGACCATTCATGCCACGCCAGTAACGTTTCTTAGTTCTGACGCGATGCCGAAGAAGAAAAAGCGTAAGAGCACTCCATGCGTACGTCGTAAAATGGACCACGTACTTACCCCTGAAGAGATCACACAAGAAATGCTTGACCGTGTCGCCAAAACTCCTAAAGAGAAAACGCATGACCAAGAAACTGGGACCTCTTGCCATCAATGTCGCCAAAAAACCGCCGACTTTAAGACCATATGTCGGTCGGGGAGTTGTGTGGGGTTGCGGGGGTATTTCTGTGGTCCGTGTCTCAATACTCGCTATGGGGAAGACGCTCGGACTGCTCTGCTTAACCCCACCTGGCACTGTCCCGTTTGTCGTAAAATATGCAACTGTTCCTTGTGCCGTAAAGCCTACGATAAAGACTCGTTAGCTGGTTTCAAGATCGGGATTCAAGGTCGGGGTTCGCCCACCTCGAATCCCGACACTTCGAAGACTAAGAAATCTAACAAATTGGCCGAAGTATTCCGTAGAGATCGCGTCTCGATTGATAAATCTAATGATTTATCAATCAGTGAAGCTGGTGAAGAATCAAGAGGCCGTTACGAAATTGTTAGTCATGATGAAATCGTTGCAATTACCTCGACCAGTCAGACTTCTGTGGCGTCCGACGATGGTTTAGGACAAGCGTTGGGGGGAAATAAACTCTCTATATCGGCAATGGATGATGGACAGTGCATAATTGACGATGCTGATGAAATTACAGTTGAAGAAATCAAAGTAGAAATACCAGAATAAACTTAAAAATCGAATGCTCGTTTTTTGAATGTATTTTTTGTTCTCCGTCCTGCTTGACACAAATCTCTTTGTGTCACGCAACAATTGAATATTTAATTTAATTGATTTATTTAAATGTCAAACAGTGTTTTGGTTCAGCATAAACATACCTACAACTTCTATATTTTGAAATGAAATAAGAATCACAATCTTAATATTGTTGTAGTTCGATAATTTCCTCATTGTAGTCAAAACTTAATCAAATAATAAAATTAAATAAACATTATGATTATTTATTTAAATGTTTTTTATTGCCGTTGAAATTGTTCGAACTACTTTAATTTAAACTCGTATTCATATGGGACTACAATCTATCTAATCATGACACTTTTCGAGATTATCGTCCAAGTGATATCAGTTTTACCTATACAATTAATTCAATTATTAAAATAGATTAATTGATTTCCAGTTGATGACAAAGAGAAGAATTACTTTGGAGAATTTATAATTTTAATGTTTTAAATATAATTTTAAAATTATTTTCTTTATATGGAATAGATATTTCTTTTACGATAACTGACGGAATATTTTTTATAATTGACTTATACCTTCACGGAAATGTGTATTTACTTGTCCTCTTATGCATAATTGTTTTCGTCTTGCTCCTTATCTCTAAATTAATTGTTTAGACCAATCTATGTGTAACATAGATTTTAACATATAAAATAACATAGATGAGTTTTTACGTAAATATAACAGCTTTTTTAACTGTTTCAATAATGTTTGAATATTAGACATTTTTTAGGAGTTTCAATGTAATATTTTTGGAAACTAACTTCGTGGTGCCTTTTATGTGCCCATAAAAACCAATCTTCCTGTTTTCAATAAATGATGCAGCCTTTTGAATAAAAAATCATTTTTGACCTGATAATATATCATTTTTGACAAATGTGCTTTCCTTGTTGACTCTAACCCTGAAAACTTCGCGGTCTCAATTAAGTGATTTATAGCGCATTTTCTCATTTATGGAAAAAAGATGCGCTATTGTGCTCGTCATGTCCGCCTGTCCGTCTGTCTGTCCGTCCGTCTGTCTGTCCGTCCGTCTGTCCGTCCGTCCGTCTGTCCGTGACTCCACGTTTTCGTCGACGAGAAAATGCGCTTTCTGTCACTTACTGCAGTGAGCACTGAGTTCTATATTTTGGTTATTTGTTTGGACTTGCACCTAACGTCGATGAACTTTTTGCGCTTGTGCTGGTCATCTTGATCCTGAACGTTCGCTCTCTGCTAAGAAATTTTCAATATTTGAACGTTATTACACATTTATTTTTTGACTGATGTTTTACTCTAAAAAATATTTAATGCTTAACAGGAGAAGTCAGGCGATGATTTACAGTGGCCATCGCACCTTACCGTTAAATTCAAACGCTGCTACATTTCCCTATTGTCCTAATTAATAATCAGTGTTTTTATTAAGATAAAGTGCAACTATATAAGGCTAATTATCAATGGTTATCATTATAAGTTAGTGGGTTAAAGGACAGGCAGCTGCTCTCGAAATTGCCAAGTAAGTTTTTTTTAATCCAAAAGGTAAATTTTATCAACTTCTTCTAGTAAAGAAGTGTTATTTAAGTCTATATAAGTGTGTGTATCCCTTTAGAATTTTGGTGTGATTTATAGTTAATCACATTTTTCTTGCGGTTAAATTTTCTAGTATTTGTAGCATTAGAAATTCAACGCAAAAAAAGATAATTTTCGTGTTTTTAGCTTCATTAAAATTTATTCATATGACGAATAGGTGTAGAAAACCTTCCATGTTATGCAGTTTATCCTTGAACAGTTTCTTTGTAGCTCTCAACAAAGTGCTGATTAAAGCATCGTTGATTTTGATGTGAACGCACTCACCAACAACGTAGCATTAGCTACTCACCTATAGCACCATGATCGAAGTTTCAGTTTCTGAAATAAATCAACAATATCTATTGTATCTACAACCAACTAACCTCCTTGTCATTCTTATCAATGACATTAATTGCTGTTAGGCAGGTCACAACGGTGATGAGTCAAATGTTAATATAGGTTATCAAATGTTAATTGTATAGTATGGTACAGCGATGTCGGCATTGATCAGGTCATTTGAACCATTTGCCTATATTTATTAACCTGCCTGTAACCTTGCCGATTGCGACCAGAATTTTTACAATGTGGTATGGTTTTCGAACCCTCAACACGCTGCTCCAATTCCTTAGTTCCTTAGTATATGTTTGGGACGTAGCAGTCCCAGGCCACGATTGATCGCCGCCTCTGATTATCGCTCATCCGCCCTCATTTGGGCCAGCTGATGCACGATGCTGTTGCTTGCTTCTCGCCGCTGGTAGTGTTGCAGGGGAGGTCGATCTGGGATTGTGCTCAGGAACACGTCCAGTCGTCTCTTGGAGGTCTACAGGGTGAACTCCCCCTCTCTTAGATCACTTGGTAGGAAGTTGAACAGCCTTGGCCCTGCCAGGGAAAGTGATCCTTCCAGCAGGGATTGAAATCTGACTGCAGATCTGTTACGTAGTGGGGGATCTTAACCACTCTGCTATACCTTGCCGATCTCAACCAGAATTTTTACAACCTTTTATGGCTGTGGAACCCTTAACTCGCTACTCTAATCTTGGTGATCTTAACCACTCTCACTGTAATATACCGAGCTCAAATTTAAAACATTTCTATTCATGTTTCAGAATCCGTCACCAAGCTCAATGTACCAGAGCAGCAACGAGTTATCAGCCGCAGCTAGCATGCAGCAGCAACAACAACAACAGCATTCGTTATCTGTTGGCATGAGTGGCATGGGGCCAATGGGTATGCGAACCTCCATGGGTGAGTCATGTCATATATACTCATGATCATGTCATCTATATTCATGATTATACATATTGATAATGGATGATGGACAGTGCAGAAGAGTAGATGTTGATGAAATTACCGTTGAAGAAATCAAAGTAGAAATACCAGACTAACTTAAAAACGGAATCCTCGTTTTTTAATGCATTTCTTATGGTACCTTATTGTTATGTTTCAGTCTACAATTGATGCTACGTTCACTTGCTCGTATATGCTCGTAATGAGCGTTTACCAGGAATTTAAAAGCAAAGAAAATACCACAAAAATTCACCATATCTTTATAAGAGAAAACGTTTCGGAGTCCAGCTCCATCGTCAGTTCAAAACACAAAATTCTGTTCAGAAAAACCCTGTGAACCGTTTTCTCAGAAAAACCGTTTACCATGTATATTGTCATAAGTATGCAAAAATTGGTCGTATATTTTAATTATCTAGCATTTGTGTGCTGCTTTTCATTTTAATTATAATGTTCTTGTCTCGCACCCTGTCTCTGAACAGATTCATATCAGAGGATAATCACTCTTGATTGTGATATTTTATTCCTTACTAAATTTTTATTCCTGACCTCAATAGTGATCTGAGTTATCATCTGAGATAATGAAATTTGTTAAATAATGTGAGCGTCTTACCATTATATTATATAAATAATAATTGATGATATTACAATAAATATTAATTGATGTGGGGTGTGCAGGTGGTGGCATGGGGGGCGTGATGGGGGGCCCCGCGATGGCAGCAATGGCGGCCATGGCAAGCAGTGGCGCGGGTAGCGGCCAGCCTGGCCTCAAGATGCCATCTCGCTACATGCCACCTGCCATCATGCAGCAGCAGGTACAGTTGCNGCTGGAGCACCGCAGTTTGCTGATGATGATGCAGGGGGGCGGCCGCGCCCCCGCCCCCTCCCACCACCCCCAGGCTGGGTCTCCCCTCATGCGCCCCCCCATGCACTTCAGACCTCGCTTCATGTAGACCTTGGGCTGGAGGTCTGCGAGAGTTGACGTGGTCTTCAAGCAGACCTTTGCTTGGAGATCTGCATGAATTTTTGTCTGTGTAGAAGCTCCTCGTCTGAACAACAGACCTCGCTTCATGTAGACCTTTGGTTAGAGGTCTGCAAGAACTGACGTGGTCTTCAAGCAGACCTTTGCCTGGTAGATCGCGTGATTTGACGTGGTCTTCATGTAGACCTTGGGCTGGAGGTCTGCGTTAATTTTTGTCGGTGTAGAAGCTTTTGGTCTAATAGACCTCGCTTCATGTTACAATAGACCTCGCTTCATGTAACCCCGCTAGGTGGACGACAGACCTATCATATAAACTAGCAGACCTGTCATTTTACTGGGCCACCTCATCTAAACTAAAAACTGGGCCCTCGACAAGATAAAAATCTTGTATACAGAAACTCTGCCCCAAAGAATTACTATTGGTGATTTCCACTGTAAATATTTTGGCCCATCAATACAAATTCTCTTCTAGAAAGTGGATCTTCACATACACGAACCTTTTGGTCCGTAATGTTCCTTAGGTTGACTTCTTGATCCAGGAAGTACCTTACACATAATTTTTTTTTTTTGTAATTTTTCTTTACGTGGATTTTTTAGCCCGAAATATTTTTTACACGGGCTTTTTGATCCGAAAATAACAAGTGCAGTGTTCGATAAACTTAGCATTTTGCTACCACTTCCTTTGAATAACAGTCGCCAAAAACTTAAGCTAGATTTTCTTGTATGAGTGACTGAGACTTGCTGTTATTACCCGACCGTGAAAGATTATTCCTTATCTCAATGTTTGTACAATAATTACGCGGATGTAAAAACACAAAATTGTTAATTCAAGTTAAATGTCGTCTGTATTCAGTGTATTCAAATTGGATTTAACCTAATTTCGATGTGATGTCTTTCAATTCCTGTTTTGTATACAGCATAATAATTATTACCTGGATAAATTAACTAAATACGACGCTTTAGATACGATGCATTTATGAATTCCGACGAGGAGTAATTCTCGTAATAAAAAGCAGCTTTCATTTCATTTTTATCTGTTTAATGAAGGTCATAGTTTTAACAGCAATTTAGGTGACTTGCCGTCGTTAAAAATAATTATTTCACAATAAGTTGTCAAATTGATAAAAATGCATTACAACAGAACATTTAAAACTAATTTGAAAATTATGTAAATGAAACTGAATCGCTTATTTTGTAAATCAGTTTAAGAATTTGAGAATTTTGTAAATGAGACTGACTGTCACTAATTTATATCCTACATGTAAATATACCCGGATATTTGTCGCAACAAAGTGTTGTACATGAACCATATTTGTGATTCATGTAATGAATAGTAATCTCTTTCCCTGCCCATTTCATAAACATCAATGATACAAAGCAGATTATTTGCTCCCAATATTACCGAAATAATTTCTTAAAAAAAAACGCCTCTGTTTAATAAGTCTTTGGTTTACGTTCATTTTTTTAGTGAAATACTTTCACTGGGATTTAGCCATGGTTTTAGTGAAATATTTGCCGATATTAGTGAGTGTACAAAAATAATGGCTGTTTTATCACGTGAGAGTGAAGTTGATCGTGTA